CAAAGCTAGTTTTCTGAGTTTGACAATTGTCCTGTGGTTATTCAAGAGAATATCCTTGTGTTTCTGGACTAAACACTACAATATTTAAAGATTTATGTACAATTTACTCTCAAATGGTTCTGAAAAAAGTGTACACATATTTTGCATGTGTGTGGAGAGAAAATTAACATTTGGGGAATCAGAGTGAAGGGTATATGAAAAATTATGCTTGCAATATTTTAAAAGTCTGAAATTTTTTTGGTACAAAATATTACATAGATGTACGTGCAGAAAGTTTTTAAATATGTTTTGTATATATTATTGTCATGGGATTGAATAGCTGTAGTTGACATATATGTGTATGTGTATAAATATGTAATTCAATTATTTAAAACTATTTAATTTGACCCACCCCTGTTTTTGTTTGATTTTAAATCTTTCTGCTTAAATCATTTACTAGTCCCTTTCTGTAAAGTAGTAACTCCGTTTAGAATTAACTATCCTACAGATGAAACAAAATGACAGGTAATCTTCAATTAGCGTTCAGAGACCTAAGTTTCACTTCAGGTCTTGTGAAGAGACCTAAGTTTCACTTTAGCATTGTGAAGTCTTCCAAAGTCAAATCATGTTTTGAAATGACTGGAACTATCCTAGTCATATAGTGTGCATTAAACAATAACTGTCCAAGTGCCAAAGCTGGCAATGGCTTCTATTGCTGTTGCCACATCAAAGGAACAGCCACAGCAATTTTTTTTAGTGACAGCCTATGGAAAATTAGCTGGATGTTCCTTCTGCTGTTTCTAACTCAATCATTTTCACGTCTTTAAATTTCAGCCATTCCCCAAATGAACACCAAAACCCGACAAACCTAAAGGAAAGCCAAAAACATGTCTGACAACGTCACATCAGGCATCAGAGCCTGTCAACGCTAAGTGAATGTTTTCTTAAAATTCTGGGTTTCCTTTTACATTGCTAATAGAAACTCCAATTTCTGCCCCCAAGCAAAGCCATCTCTCCTTCAAATAACCTCAAGAAAGGCTGCAATGTTTAAAATGATTAGTGAAATTTCTCACAATGACAAAGCACTTTATGGTCACAAATCAGTTTTACATAAATTATCCCATATTCTCTTTACAGTAGTTCTATAAGAAGTTCCATTTTAAAGAATAGGAAAGTGAAGTGCAAAGATTTCAGAACATTTCATGTACTGCATTCAGGGCCAGAATCTATGTTTCTGTATTCCCAAAAGGTGTGGGGGAGAGCAGAAATCACTGGGTAACGCTATTTATGAAATAAAACTTTCAAAAAGTAGGTTAAATATGCAGAAGGAACAGGATTAGAAAAAGAAGGAGAAAAAAAGTAGGTAAAATGTGAGAATAAAACAACTGGCAACAATAGTATCTGAAGTACATTTCACTGAAAAAGTTGGATGGAATATTTCCTGGGGAACAAATACATATCACTCACAGTGTCCCAGAAAGAATGCATATCTCTCATGGTGTTCCAGAAAGAACTGGGCTCTAGGGGCCTGACTTCAAGCCCTAGCCAAACAGCATACCAGGCTCGTGAACTCCAGTAAGGCCCTTAACCCTGTCAGCTCAACTTCTACCTTTGTAAAACTGACTTTCCTCACAGAGTTATGGGAATGGACTTCTGTTCATTGTAAAGCTCACATACCATTTTCTATCCTGTCTTTATCAAATGGAATTCTTTGGGCCCCAAACAGATCAGATCTCTGTGTTCCCAATCTCAGCAAATGGCACCCAGTTATTCAGGGCAAAACCCTAGTCTCATTCCTATCACTCACCCAAATATCAAATTAAACTCCTTCAGGACAAGCCTAAATTTCTTATCTGAAAATGACCCTTCATTATCTGGCCTCATCTCCTGACATTTTTCCATATGTACCCTTTAATCTTGTCATAACAAGATGCAAATTTATGCATCCTAAAACTTGTGAAATTTTCTATCTCCATGCCTTCCACATGCTATGAAGTTCTTCCCAGAACACCCTTACTACCACCCTCATTGGTTAATTCCTACATGTCCTTCAACACTCAACAGAAGCCATTGTGGAAGACTTTCCCAAATCCTACAGTCTTAAGAAAATACACTATTTTAGGCCTCTGCTCCCTGCACACACATCTTCACCATGACGCACCAAGTGTTGGTTTCATTTCACCCTCTAGATCAATGTCGTCCAATAGAACTTTCTGCAATGATAGAAATGATCTACATCTGGGTTGTCTAATATAGTGGCAACTAGCTATAGGCAGCTATATGAGCACTTGAAATGTGGCTGGTTCAACCAGGGAACCGAATTTTTCCATTTTATTTAATTTTATTTATCTTAAATCTGAACTAATAGCCACCTGTGGCTAGTGGCTATGGTGCTGGACAGCACAACTCTAGAGGGTCTGTCAACTCTGAAGATGGGTCATGCTTGTGTCTGTGTTCCCAGCACCCGCCACCTGGCATAGAGTAGGATTCAGAGTTTACTGAAGGAATAAGGAAATGTGTAAGTATCTACACATACTTCTGTATTCTTGGGGAGTGATTTCTCCTAATACCTCAAGCATTCTACCACAGTCAAACATCCACCACATCAAATTTTGCCAAACCCAGTCACATCTTGTAAAGTACACCTCATTAACTAACATGGAAAAAGCCCTCAGCAAATAATTTCTATTCAGGGCATTTGGCTTCATGATCACTCTTAAATGACTTCCAGATGACTTCTGGACAAATAGTTATGCTGTTTATGAAACATTACAATAGTCATGGCAGCATCGTTATGGAATGTCAAAATCAACTACACTGTTTAATATGAAAAAAGCATAGGCTTTTTATCGTATTTATATTAACATGGAAAATAAATTCCCTTGAATGTTTCCAGTACTGCACAAGTATGAAAGACTATTTTGAAGTATTCTTTAAAAGTAACATTCTGCTCTCCTAACTGAATTCATTTCTGAAATACCATACAACATTTAGAGAGGGTATACTGACTTGATTTGATAGGTTTCAATACCATGATAGCAGAATATGGACAGAACACGACCTTGCTACAAAGAACTAGCAGTCAAATTCAATTTGGTTCCAATTAAAAGTCCTGGTTGACAGAATTCATGAGGTTGGCATATGGTTGGTCCTTTGAGATTTTAAGAAATCTAAGATGTGAACTTCATTAAGCAGATTAAACAGGTTTGACTCCACATCCAGGTCTTCACTACAAAATTCCTTAAAGTATAACTGGCAATCAAAGGCATCAACAAAGATTGTCTGCACACAATGGCCCCGTCCAGGATGAGGGGAGCTTCTCCATTACTGGCCTGGCATATTACCCATCCCATAGTGATTATATTATACAATGGCTGAACAACCATTTGTTAATGTCCTTCCATCGCATAATTACTTCTGTAAAGAGAGAATAATCCTATAGTCTAAAATTGTATGTGAAATAAAAAGGAAGAGGTAAAGCATCTTAGGGCTTGATGGAGAGAGGTGGAGGTAGAAACTTCAAATGCATGGTTTGCTTCTTTGAAACCCAATTGAAAAATCTTAATTAAAAATAACTTTATGACAAAATAATCAGTGTTCACTATAGGTAAAAAAAAAAAAATATACACACACACAGGAGGCAAAAATAAAACACATACTTCTACCCAAAGATAACATTTGGTATATACTCTCGTGCTTTTTTCTCATGCACTTTTAAAACAGTAAAATAAACACTAGGTAGCATTTACATAACATTCACTCTGCTAACTTTCCTAACCATTTAACATAAATTAATTCACTATCTTCACTAGAACACTACCAGGGAGGGGCCATTATTAGGTGCACCTTACAGACAAAGAAACTAAGCAGAGAGAAGTAATTTGACCTAGCTCATAAACTTGTAAGTGGCAAACAATCTCTATTCAATTTTTGCTGTGGGAGCATTGTGTTTAAGAAGTGTGGAAAGAAAAATTTCTCTTAAATTTTATTAAATCTTTACTATTTCAATATTCTATCAGAGTACATAATCTGTATATCTTATTTGACTCCTGTTCGCTGTTCTCCAGGGAGGGACCAAAATAAGATGGAAGACTTTCACTGACTTGGATCTAATACTCAACAGCTGGGCTGTATGACACAATCTGTAATATAGATTTAGATTCCTTCAGGGCTATCTCTTTGATGTTCTTTGTAACAAACCGTCACCTTCCTACCTCTATATATTATATAATCCATTACCTTGGCCTTTAGAAGCCTATATTAACTTAATTCAAGTCTGATTTTATTTTTTCACTGGGATTCTTAAAACATAATATATAGTTCCCCATTCTTTTAAAACCCAAAAGTGTCTATTTTGATTATGGACTTCAAAAAAATGTGGAGAGCACAACAAAAAGGAGGTTAAAACAAGGAGAATAAATATTTCCACAGTGTAAACTATTAAATTGGAAATGTGACATGCAACTGACAAGTTCAGAAACATTCTCAAAGTTAGAGGTGCTCTTAAAGATGAGGACAGTGTTTCATGCCTTCACCCCATTTCCAAAGGTCGTCTGCAAATGTCCAAGGGGACCTACCCTCAGTTTTCTGCTGGTTCGCTGTTGAGATTGTTGCTCATGACCCTGAAACACCTTGTGTTATTTTTTATGGTTCTGTTACCCATATAGCAACTCCTTGGCAACAATGGTAATTATACAGCAGCCTTGTTATCTCAGAATAACACTGTAATTAACTGGTGTCACTGTAGCATTTGTACTTATGATAACTGCAGCAAAAAAGAAGTCCTATGGAAGTAGCATTTTTTTAGTTATGGCTTTCAAAAATAGCTTCAGCAACTACACTGCTAGTAAAACCAAGTTTGTTTCCCCCAAGAAACATGACTTCCTCAAAACAAAGCCCACTGAAATTAAGCTATCAAAATGTCTCCTATCAGAAAACATCAGATTATCTCTGTAGCAAAAGCTTTTAAAAAGAATTGGGGAAAAAAGACATACAGACATATTTCTCAAGGTAATACTTACAGCTCTTCTAGAAAAGGGAAGTTCTTAAATGCATCTTCTGGCAACTGAGTAATGTTGTTCATACTGATATCCCTGAAAAACATAAAGTTAAGAGTATTGTTAATTAAGTGATATGAAGCTTAAAGCATTTAATCCAACAGAAAACTAACTAGTCACTGCAATTTTGTGAAAGAGCATAGAAGACACAGCAATAGTCACAATTTGGCTTCAGAATGCAATATTCAGAAAACACAGAGAAGTTAAATGTTTTGTTATAAATTATATCCCAGAATTTAGAAATGTACCCAGATCCTGTATTTTCCCCCCTTAAGTATCCTTGGAAAAAATGTCTCAAACCACCTACAATAAGTGGGCCACGGTGGTTTCCCAGTGCTTTGGTATTCACGGTACTACCGATACCTGATCAAAATAAACAAATGAATACCCTAGAAATGATACATAGAATTTGCAGGTGAGGGTGGCTTCTGGAGTCACTCAAGGACAATAAAAGCATGTCCTAGCTCTACCCTAGTCATATTTTCTTCAAAACCTATAAAAGTCCTCCAGGTAATAGTTGTCGGTGGATTTCATGTTCTGCCTATGAACAGATGCAGGCTAAGGACAAGTGCATACATGATAGGTATGCGATCAATTTCCAGTTTTCCCTTAAAAGCGTCCGCAGAAAGAAAACTCACTCAACAATATAACTCAACAATTCACTAGTTCAAACAGCCAAAAAATACTTTGTTAACCATTTCTCTCTTCCCTGGCAGCTGCCTTTTGAACTGGCTTTCTCTGCCACACTCTACTTGAGATCAGCACCGTGAAAGACAGGTTAAAACAGCCCCATAAGGGAAAGTCCCAGCATGCGCTGGGGCAGTGGAGTTGCCTCCTTCAGTTCCATGGTGTTTAATTCTGTGGCTGAGCCCTTGGGTGTCCCATTTCTAGGACCTGGCATGAAAGTTCACATGTGCAACTTGTCCATTAGAACAGTATATATATTGGTATGAGGAAACAGAAGAAAAATGAAGCATACCAAAGTAAGCTAACAACAATAATACAGTGTTATTCCACCCATTCCATCAGGTAAAATTTTCTTTTAAAGGAGGTGACACCTTCAGTAACATGCTAGGTACATCCTTTCTCCTCATGTTTCCTTTCACTAAAATTTAGAAATAGAATCCACATCCTTTCTTACTAGCTTTTCCCAAAGCAGGTTTAGAAACATGTTTTGGCTTGGGAATAACAGTAACAGAAGCAGCAACAAAAACAGCAGGAACAGCAGTTAACATGCAGTGCATGCTTGTAACATGACAACACTGCACAGATAATCTTACCTTACAAATGGGGAAACTGAGGCTTACTGGGGTTAAAAAAAAGCTTCCCCAAGACCATTCAACAATCAGTGTAACAGAAAATGTGAACACCAGAGCCCACAGCCTTAAGTGCAAACAATGAGTCTTCTTAAGTATTATTCGTATCATGTTATTAATACTTATCTCCAGTGGTAGTCAAGATATAAAACAAACACTTGAGTCCCACCAAGCTTACAAACTGGGAGAACTGGGAGGAATAATGCCCCTAACATCTTGACATAATTATCCATGAATCTCTGGAAAAGCACTTTTGCTTGACAACTAGGGTCAAAGAAAAAAAATAAAAAAGACCAGGAATAGCTTTAGCAATTAAGGAACCAATGCTAATATACATTTCTTAGCACAAGAAATTTCCCTTCAGATGAATCTTATGACCATAGAGACACACATGCACTCTAAAATTTTATATCATTGAAGACAACTCAAATCCTACTAAAGATAACTTATAGGAAAAGCCAAATTACTATGCTTCTCTAGGGATTACTATTTTAAAACCCAGGCCCCAATACTACTTTAGTCAGTGATCATTATCTCTGGGGGAAGGGAAGAGGAAACGCTTTGTTTTTCATAAACACTCTAGCAAGATACTGGAGAAATGGCACCAAAACAGGGGTCAGAAAAGGCAGGCAAAACTCCCACACTGCCACATAGCCATTTTATGTACTGGGCCTCCATCTGCTCATCAGTAAATTGAAGCTGATTGGTTCGGTAGCTTCCTGGCCTGACATTATATACTGTCAGGCCAGGAAGTATAATGCCTTTATACTGACAGTATATAGTGATTCACACTTTTCTGTAGTTTCTTCTTGGAGGAGTCCACCTTTTCAGATAAAAACAGATGAGATTCATTTTGTAGAATGTTTATGAAAAGTTTATCATAATGCAAAGTTTAAAGACTATCCCTCAGTCATTATTAAATTACTAAGTCACTCTCACGGGAGATCCATTTGCTTTTCTCAAGAATACAATAAAACATATATCATATTGAAGGCAAAATAATGATCCAATATGAGTAAACAATGATTCTGTAAAAGATCGGACAGTTTTGGTATTTTTTGGTCATTCCAATAAAAAGAGAAAGGACAACAATAATTGATTGCTTGACGAAATGAGGCATTCTGTACCATTTCTCTAAGCTTGGCACACCTGAATTCAGGTGCGTTATCACTGTAACAGAAAAACTGATTAATTTCCTCATCAGAAAAGGTCTGGAGCAAACCAATTAATTGCCTCATCAGAAAAAGACACATAATTAGAGACAATTTATACCACACTATTCTTTGCATTCCAGTTTTTTAAAACATGCACAGCTCTCAGTTTTTCCCTTATAGTAACAAGACTTAACAGGTAGTTTTGCTGTGAGCTGTAAATGCAATTAGCGAGACTCCATATTTACAAACTAATATATGTTAAATACATGGTGAGGTTTTATTTCAAAGCTTCAGATTCAGGAGCAACACTTCTTTCTAAATTTTTCTTAATTTATAATTTCACACACCCAGAGAGTTTCCCTCTTTACAGGTGTTTTCTCTCACTCTTTCTGGGATTCAGTTACACCACTTATGAAGTAAAAAGTTGAGGGTGGGGGTAGTGGTGAGCTATAAGATGTTATCTGTGGAGAAGTTCTAGAAACCTGTGGTTACAGAGTATAGATGGGTGGATACCCATTTAAAATAATGAGGGCTGATGGTGATAAACAACCTATAGACAGTCTTAAGAGTAGATTCTAGACATGACATTACCAACACCATAAAGAGAATATGAAGTACACAGGCTTTATAAATAAGAGATTAGAAAGGATGACCTATGACAATAATTACAAATATATGAGGCTCAAAAGCCATATAAATTATTATGATACCTAAGTAAAAAGAAATTCTTTAAAGAATTTTCATCCAGAAGATGCTCCTACAGATCAGTACCTTCAAATTCACATGAGTAGTACAATCTCATCAGTGATATCAGTAATAAGTTCTAGGAATTCACCTTTTGGGATAGAGAAGCAAATATATATATATATATATATATATATATATATATATATTATATGAGGTCAAAGCACCTCCAACTCACAAATGTCTCAGAAGGGCAATTTCCAGAGAGCTGATGGCCTTACTTAGAGCCAGCATCGCATAGTTGCAAGCACAGGCTTTGGCGCCAGACAGATCAAGGCTTACATATGGATTCACTACCACTAGCTGTGTGATCTTTGGCAAATTGTTCATCTTTTCTGTGCCCTGGCTTCTTCATTTGTAAAATGGAGGGAGTAATAACTGAATCGTATAGATTGCTGTGAAGATAAGAAAATGTCAAGTCATGTATAATAAGTTCAACAAGTAATAGCTATTATCTTATCATCATCCATGTTTTCACTGTTCCTGGAAGCCATCTGAATCCAGTGGACCAAGACCAGACTAAAAGGAGACATCTCACTGCCTCTGTTGGCCTCAGAAAGAAACCATCTTTACAGAAGATACTAAATGCTGCAGAAGACCTAAAACTTGGAGCAGTTGTCCCTAAACACAAAACTAAACCCCAGAACCCCAGGAGACAAAGATTTTAAGCTGGAAGAACCCTTCAAGATCAAATATTTCATTTAAACAAAAGATCAGACATACAAAAGCACATCACCTTCCCAGAAAAATTAACAGGAACATCCAAACACCAGCAGTCACTGATTTCAAAATTAAAATTTAAAGGGTGCAATTGTTTAATTGAAACTGCCAAATCTCTCCAGTGGTTAAACTCTCATATTTTTTCCCACCATAAAATTCACTGATGCTAAAGTATCTATGGAGTAAAGAATATCATGTTTTAACAAGGTATCTTTTAAAATCTCTGTAAAATGATCCCTAGGCAAGCCTAACCTGTTTGCTGATGGCTAAGCATGTACCACGGTGGACTCCGACATTGCCTCCTTACTGGGTCTGGGCCTTCTGCCACAGAATTATTTAATTTTAAATATACTGTGATTGACCCAATGTTATCTAAATTTGAACAAGCTCTCCTATTTGTGTTAGATTAAACTGTACTGCTACTACTATATTGTTGATTTTATCTCAAATATTACCTGGCAGTTTAAAAAGTCACTAAATTATATACCGGTTCAAAAGAACACAGGGTTCTCTAAAGTGTTCTCTAGGAAAAGAAAAAAAAAATGATGGTGATGTCCATAAACTCAAAAAACACATGTTGATAATGGCCAAGAATGAACACTCTCCCGGTGACTTTTCCAGGGTCTTTGGTAATCAACCAGAAATGTCAAGCCAGTCTCCAGTTCACAGATGTCTACAGTATGACCAAAAACTAAAAACAAACTTTGAAAAATGCCTCTGGTGAAACAAATTTGAAGGGAAGGTCTCTCTCAACCACAAGTAGTAAAGACATAACATAATACCAAAGTTCTAATTCAAGTTCATTAAGAACACGGTGGCTCACGCCTGTAATCCCAGCACTTTGAGAGGCTGAGGCAGGTGGATCACAAGGTCAGGCTTTTGAGAACAGCCTGGCCAACATTTTAAAGTCCTGTCTCTACTAAAAATACAGAAAAAATTAGCTGGGCGTGGTGGCACACACCTGTAATCCCAGCTACTCGGGAGGCTGAGACAGGAGAATCGCTTGAACCTGGGAGGTGGAGGTTGCAGTGAGCCAAGATCGGGCCACTGCACTCCAGCCTAAATGACAGAGCGAGACTTCATCTCAAAAAAAAAAAAAAAAAAAAAAAAAAATTGATTTCTGACACTATTCCATAACTTTGAGCAAGCAATCTCATTTTCTCCCCACCTTTTTATAATAACAAAAGTAATCAGTTAATTGTTTTTAAAAAATGGAGATACAGAGAAAACCATCCACAATACTAACACCCACTAATAATCACTGCCATATTTCATGGGTAACATTACAGATTTTTTTCTATGTGTGGTATATATTTTTACAAATCTGAAATCATATAGTTCTGAACATGTTCATCTCTTGACACCTAAAAGATTCTTCATTTGCAAAATGAAAACAAGAAATCTTCCTAGAAAATATCTTTGAATGGAAGTGTAAGCATTGAAGTCTAATATAGATCAATGCTATTTTAAGTAGCCTGTACATTATGGGATGGGAGTATCTTTGCTACTGAAAGTCACTATGCCAAAAAAGAATAGAGGTTAATTAAGGGCTTTCCTTTACAAGAGAAAAAGGAGATATCCTGTCATCCATTTAATAAATATTTACAAAGTATCCATTGTGCACATATGTGCAAGGCACTGTGCTAGGATAGTGAGGGTTTTATGTCAAAAGATGTCATCAATAGATTTTTTTGTATTAAACTCCATCAGCCCACTCTATTCTTAACTTACTATTACTGTTTAAGATTTTGTTGCAACATTCAATTAAATTTAACTGTTTTAAAATTGCATTATTTCATTTTGAAAACAACAAGAACAGCTACATGAAGATACCCCTATTTACACTGCAGAAATGGGGCCAGAACAGTACATGTGCGATGTTAGATTTTGCTCCAAAGATACTTTTTTTGAATCTACATGTTTTAGCATGACTAGAATCCAACTAAGTGTCACAATAGACACCCTTCTAATGTCTGTGCATCATTTCTACTACAAACAGTTTTGAGCAGTAGGATAAACTGGCTCCATGCTGTCTGACATCTTCTCTGTTTTTTTCAGGTACCAACGCTCAGTACTTCCCAGCAAAAGGAATCCAAAACATGCTTCTCTACAGCCTTGGAATTCTTAAGAGGATAGATGCCACGACACCCATATTGACACTTAAAAATAAACATTAATTATGGCAGAGACAAGTTATCAACTTGTAAAGTCATTATCTATTTAAGGTACTTGAACATCCTAAGTATAATCTTTCTTAACAACTTGGAAAGTTGTTTCTCATTTAGAGAAAATGTCACCTTCAAATTTTAGAAGTAAATAAAACTTGTTTCTATCAGAAAAATGTTTAATTCACTTTATGATCATCAACTTCTGTGGATTGAAATCTTCTTCTTTTTTTTTTTTAAACTGGAGTCTCTCACTCCGTTGCCCCGTCTAGAATGCAGTGGCACCATCATGGCTCACTGCAGCCTCAACTGCCCAAGCTCAAGCAATTCTCCCACCTCAGCTTCCCCAGTAGCTGGGACTATAGGCAAGCACCACCTTACTAGGCTAATTATTTTTCTATTGTTTGTAGAGACCATGTCTCACTATGTTGCCCAGGCTAGTAAAACCACTATTTTAGCATTTTTAAAGATATTCCCTTCAAAGACTTTCAAGCTGTGTTGCCACTGTTAAGAAAATGAACCCAGGCGCGATGGCTCATGCCTATAATCCTGGCACTTTGGGAGGTCAAGGCAGGTGGATCACCTGAGGTCAGGAGTTCGAGACCAACCTGACCAACATGGAGAAACCCTGTCTCTACTAAAAATACAAAATTAGCCAGGTGTGCTGGCACATGCCTGTAATCTCAGCTACTCGGGAGGGTGAAGCAGGAGAATCACTTGAACAAGGGAGGCAGAGGTTGCAGTGAGTTGACATTGCGCCACTGCACTCCAGCCTGGGCAACAAGAGCAAAACTCCGTCTTAAAAAAAAAAAGGAAAGAAAAGAGAAAATGAAACAACACAAAAAAGAATGGAAAAAAATATTTGCAAACCATAAAAAATTTATATTATAATGTAGAAAGAACTCTCACAATCAATAATAAGAAAAGTCTGATTTTAAAATGGGCTGAAGATTTGAACAGATACTTCACTAAATAAGATACACAAATGACAAATAAGCACATGAAACGATGTTCATAGTAGTTATTAAGGAAATGCAAATCAGACCACAATGAGATACCATACAACTATTAGAATGGCTAAAATTTTTTAAATAGCAGCTGACAATACCAAGTGCTGATAAAGATGTGGAACAACTGGAACTCTCAAATGCTGTTGATGACAGGCAAAATGGTACAACCACTTTGAAAAACAGTTTGGTAATTTCTTATAAAATTAAACATATACTATGACTATATGACCTAGCAATCCTAGATATAAATTATATATATATATATATAAAATTGCCCCAAACTGGAAACAACCTGAATATACTTCAATTAGCAAATAAAGAAACTTTGTATTATCTATACAATGGAATATTATCCAGCACGAAAAGGAGCAGACTACTGATACAAGCAACAACATGAATGATTTCAAACACCTGTGCTAAGTCAAAGAGGCCAGATGCAACAAGCTGCATATTGCATGATTCCATTTATATAGCATTCTGGAAAAGGTGAACCTATAGACACAGAAAATAGATCAGTGGTGGCAACAGCTGGGGGCTGGAGAAAAGGCTGGCTACAAAAAGGCATTAAAAAAATTTATGTGGTGGTAAAAATGATTTATATCTTGATTTTGATAGCAGTTACACAATTGTACAGTTTTTCAAAACAGAATTGTACATTTAAAATATTAATTTGGCTATACATAAATTAAGCCTTTATACCTGTATTTTGTGGGTTTTTTCCTTTATAACTAAGAGCATATATGATAGTATCTCCTCACATTTCCCCCTCAGAAAAAAAAAAAATTAAAAATGCATCCTACGTGTAACCATTCTCCAAGTCCTACTCCAAATAAAAAATTGAGATGCATAGCTCTGTCTTGGGAATCAAGAAATATGGGGCTCTTTTCTGTCTTTGCAATTTCGGCTATCAATCTGTAACAGAACACCGGGCCCAGCTTCTTCGTTATCTCTTTACTGAGCACCTGTTAGGTCGATGCCTGTGTGCTAGGACAAGTGAGACATAGTCTCTACCCTCAAGAGCTGTCTGAGGCAGTGAGAGGAACAAAACAAGTAAATACTATGACGTGTGTGACCTAGTAAGTAAAGATGATCAAATCAGACCTGGAGCTCAAAAAAGGTTTCCAACACCAAAGCTCTTGTGCAGATGTGGAAAGAGCAGATATTACTAATACCAAAGTTAAGTATATCACATATAAAAACAAGCATGTCTGTGACAATTATTTAGATTTTTTTATATAAAATATATATTACATATAATATACATACACACATGTACACTCATACACATACACATATATATGTATATGGTCATAATATAAATGTAATCCACACTGGGTTCATACTAAAAGAAAATTTTTTTTGAAAGCCTCGGAACTAGATGTGTGTCTTGGGAGAAAGTGGAAGGTGTCTTCCTGTCAGAAAGAATACGTGTGAAAGCATGGTCAAATGAGATAAAACCAGAGTGGTCAAAAAGATAAAACCATCAAGGAATTACAGAATTACAAGCAGTAGAGTCAAAAAAGATAAGACGATCAAGGAATTTGATCATTCAAATCAGTATGTGTATAAGTGGTAAGTAAAGCTACCAAGACAAGCAAAAACTGCAACACCAAAGGCCTTCATATGTGACCTTTAGAAATCAGAACTTTATTCTAAAAGTATGGAAAGCTGCCAACAAAGTTTACGCACATCAGGTTTGCTGTAGAAACGTCATCCTGACAGCCATATATTACAATGGGACAAAGGGAGAGGAAGCTAGGAAGAAACCCAGACCTTCTCAATTCCAGCTTCCTCCACTGTAAAATATTTTGTACCAACTAACCTCTAAGGCCCTTTCTAAATATATCATTATTACTCCTACTTTGATATTCCTGCTCCTGCACATTCCATGCATAATTATGGAACCCTAAGAAACCCTTAGATTCATGCTTTTCCTATCTGTATGTGTAGGCCCATTTGCTTGTGTTAGCAAGTATGGGAATAAATACAGGCTAAAATAGACCCCCTTCAGAATTACAAGAGTTCAGCAATTAAGAAAGACGCATGACTTCATTTCCAAAGGTAATATTTTATGCTGTAATTGTTTACACTCTTGATGAAGCAATACAGCCTAGGAGACATTTAACGGTGTTATTCAAGGGGATGCTAACCCTAGAAGGTAGAAAAGAGCGAGGATAAAACACTGGTGTGTAAATATCACAACACAACAAAAGGTATGTGTGGCTTAAATTACAAATTCTTAAAAGGGTAACTAAAAAAGCTATGGGATAGTGCCCGCTTACAAAGAAAAAAATAAAACAAATAAAACTAGTTAGACTAATTCAATAGTTTCTAGCTTTAAAACAAGTTCAGCTTCTTTTGTTTTTTGTTTTTGTTTTTCTTGTTGTCTTTTTAAACAGGCTAGTTTTCGCAAGTGTGGGATATGTTTTAAAGAGAAAGATATAAAATGCTCTAATTCTGGAGTAATGTCCATTAAATGGCAAAGAAAAATAAATGCCAAAGACAAAAAAAAAATTACTTTCCTGTTTCTAGTTTGATCAAGAGCCCTACCATCTGGCATCACAGGGAATAGATAAGGGTTAAAACTATCACATTCCATGTTTTCTTCCGATCTAACTGGTGTTCCCAGGCATTCTTTGGGTGTCAACAGCTATTCTGGTAACCGT